ATTAATTCATACGAAAAGTGACTGTTGTTTTAAAGTATTAAATTATATTTAACACCATTGCCAAGTTCTGCTTGGCACAATTAGTACAGTAAACCACACGTGAATTATTTTTAGGCTGATTAATGAAGAAATAGTCGGCTTCAGAACATTAGGCTATTTATTCATATAAATGTTCATGCATTCATATAGTCTTTGAAAATGAAGGAGAACGTAAACAGCATATAGGCTTTAAATGAACCGATTTTGGTCAAATATATGACAACTTAAACTCAGGATGTTTGATAACGACGATAAATGTTTAGCTGTGGTGTTCCAGGGCTGTGAGTCTCCGGTGTGCGCGGGCTGCGGCGCGCTGATCTCAGATCGCTTCTACCTGCTCGCGGCAGACAGACGGTGGCACGAGCGCTGTTTGAAATGCAGCGCGTGTCACGCTGACCTGGAGTCAGAGCTCACGTGCTTCAGTAAACACGGAGACATTTACTGTAAGGAGGACTATTACAGGTAAAATACATTTATATTTAAATATACTTCTCCATTTAACTTCGAAACGAGACTGTTACTCACCGGCACCGCGCTGCTATTCCTTCATACAGGGGCTATTGTCACGCTTTTTACCTCAGCGAATATTTGTCAGAGCAGTTTATTTTTAATCCCCACAAATATTTACCAAGAACAAAAACGCAATTCATTTTTACGAACGTTGACCTTATGGCCTTGTTGCCACACTATACGGTGCAATTGACCACAAAGTGAACCTGCTGTTATTGACACTGATTTGAAAAGAACAGAGCTATCATTTAATGAAATATTAAAAAATAAGTGATCCACAACACTTAAAAAATATTTTAAGTTAAATGTATGATAATTATAAAACATAACATTTCATGAAACAGCAAAAGTGCAAAAGATTCGAGCTAAATCCTGAACCGTTGTTTTGTGACAACATGCCCCAACAGAGTTTTCACACACACATGCAGTTAAATGTATCTGCGTAATAAAGATGTATTCTCTTAAGTAGGAGGTTTTCTTTGCAAAGATGTGCGCGGTGCCACCTGGGAATCTCTGCCTCAGAGGTAGTGATGCGCGCCGGGGATCTGGTGTACCACTTGAGCTGCTTCTCCTGTGCCACCTGCGACAAAGTGCTGTTCACTGGAGATCACTACGGAATGAGAGAGATGTCAGTGTACTGCCGGGTACATTTCGAGACTATGCTGCAGAGGGAATGTCATACAGATTTGTATTATTCAGACATGTCTCCAGGAGAGCCAAACCCTGAGAGCGGCACATGCAATGAAGGGACCCCTGTGCACAGAGGACGGGCCCGGAAGAGGAAAAACTGTGATGCAACAGACCATGTTTCAGGTAATGCATTTTCGATATTAGCATAATTTTATATATTTTACATATTTTCATAATCTGTATTTTTACACTACATGTCAAAAGTATGGAATAACTTGGTTAACAAAAGAGACATTTAATGTAAAAAAAATAAAAAAAGTAAAAATCTGAATTATTCCCAAATTCTGACCAGAAGTATAGACTATATTTTGCATTTATTTGGGATTAACAGAATAAAAATATTAATATTTCTTATCAAACAATATGTCAGCATTACAAAGTCAGATCCTATAAAAAACAAATATAATTTAAATGTAAAATACAATTGTTATTTTAATATTAATTTTACTTATATTACCATGTAAATGTACTTAATATATATTAGAAATCTACTAAAAATATATACAGTAATTATATATATATATATATATATATATATATATATAT